GACATGATACCATTTGATTGGCATTCACCCCAAATGTTTGGTACCCACTCTGTACACAGATCTTACCTCCTTCAACAATAAACAGGACAAGAATAAAGGGTTTCATCCACATGAAATGAAAGCCATATATACTGGTCAAGATGGATTGGAGAAGTGATGGTAGCCAAGTTGTCAAGCCTTTCATCTATCCTGAGCACAGGCCATTATAGTACCAGGAAGTCCCCAGGGGTGAGATTGAAAGAATATTCTTACTAGATTTGGAAATGCTCTCAAATCACATACATTTCTGGTGGGTTCTTTAGGGCTAACACATACCCGAACAGTCATAAATAATAGATTTATGCTGAATAGATGATGGGGATAGATATTCTACATAAATGTAACAGTTCTCTTGATTTTAAGGGACGCTCTCAATGTGGAAATGCTACGATTAAGACCGTGGAAGTAGGGATGAGTATATGACTGGAAGCCACATAGCTATCCTGGCCTATCTAGATTGTTATTGTGAAGCGGCACAAGATACAGTGGGAAGGAGAGGGGGAGAAAGGAATAGGAAGGGGAAAGGCAGCTGGTCAGAAGATCACTGTCTTGATCAAGGAGACAGCATATGCAGGGATACTCAAGAAAATCTGTCATCTTATAATAGCCCTGCTTGGACAGTAAAAGGTGGCTTATATAAGCGAAACATGGCAGTGGCTCCAATAGCAATGGCAGTTCCAGATATGATGCAGTTACAGACCGAAGGCACTTGGTGTGTGGTGGTGGAAATTATAGTAAAATCTTTCTCCAGTATCTCACTAGACCCAAAAGATCAAAATCAGCTTGCAAGTTTAGATATTGAAAACAATCTATAACACATCTATGTGTTCTGAGACACTTGCAATCCACTTATAACCCAAGACTGGGCTCCAAAACAAGACCTAGTGTTTCCAGCACTTGGGACCGAGGAAGACAGGCAAATGTGTCTTTTCTACCAGTTACAGTCAAGTGAGAAAAGGAAATCCAGGGCACACAGCCCAGGGCAATGGACATGGCCAGTCCTCACAAATACAGCATGTTAGCCCCTAATCTCCTCTCGAGGGTATTGTTTGACAATGACTGCAATAGATACCTTTCCAGATATGACACAGCAATTCCTCTGCACAGCAGACATGAATCATACTAATCAAGTACTCCTAAATGGATGATATTTACACATCTAGTCAGACAATCTTGAAAGCCAAGGATACTCAGTACTGTGCAATTAGCTGGGGCAGGCCATGGACATTCTATGGTCCATATCACGCACAAGCAGCTATAAGTAACTTTAGAGCCAGTTAAAATTTCTGCAAATGTGTATGTCTGAGCTTATTAAACAATGAACTACCCTGGCCATTAGTTTGTTTTACGTCTTTTATATATTTTTGTTCTTTTGTTAGTCTTTATCATTGGATAAATTTGTTCTCAGGTCTCAGACATGATGTATGTTGGTGATAAACTAAGAACTGCCTATACTCCTAAAGCGTTTCAAGGTTGTAAAATGTTGCAAATGAGAAAAAAAAAAGTACTGTCTGGCTAGAGGAAGTCACAGGTAATTAGAGCCATACATTATAGTACTGAGGTTTAAACAGAAGTGGAAACCATTGTTGCCAGAGTGATTAACAAATCAACAATAATTAAAATAATTTTTGCCACTACTGGCCTTTAGCATATAGCACTGGATACTGCTGGTACTTTTCACTAGCAGTAAAAACTTCCATTCTGGGAAGCTGACGAAGTTCACTTCAATTTCATTAGGCAAGACTTGGAGCACCGCCTTACTCTCCTCCCCACAATAATATGTCATCTCAGGATTATACCAAATCTGAAATATTATTATACCAGTGTGAAATATTATTGAATGTATAGGTATTCTGTCAAAATCATAACACTTTTAGAATGGTCTGCAACTGAGAAAATTTGCATCCCATGCTATTTAAGCATATATGACTAAAGACAGACTCTACAATCCAAATAATCCATCTATACTGACTTACAAAACAAGCAGTTACATTTCAATGGGGGTAGGTGGAGCTCAGCCAGAAGAATCATTGAAAGCAGTCCCGGATAAAAGGGAAAAAAACCCCGGCCACTGGGCACTGTAACTGATTAGGACCCCCTGCAACCGCAGGCATCTCTGATCACTTACACAGCTGATTTCATCCAATGGCCCTAAATTTCCTGATATCCACTGGCTCCTGGAATTTGGAACTAATGAACTTTATCCCATGGTTCAGTGAAGAACTTTTCCCGGGAAAGTTCCACTATAAACAGATTGGCCTCTGACACTGGTAAAGTCCACAAACAGGAAGCTGTACACCCATAAGAAACAGAAATAGCCCACCTACTCCTTTACCTAAACTACTAGGTCACTGAAGGTCCTCTCTGTAAGACTTGTCTCATGCCGAAAAAACTTAGTTTACTGAAGAATCAGCATACATCCTAGCCTTCCAGCATATTGGTGATAAATTCCTGATAATTCATACAAGTGAATGCGAATGAAATGACAGACAAATGTGTAAAAGACATGAAAAGACCATTCAACCATAGGAAAACCCAAAGTAAGTAAGATATCCTCAAAGTTATATATACATGTATACCTCATGACACAGCACATTCACTTGTTGGTACACATACACCCTAGTGAAACGCAGGCACATGTGCAGCAGGAAGCATGTGCAAGAAAATTCATAAATAAATGAGTCTTTACAGTCATAAATTGAAATAAACTTAAGTTTTCATTTCACAAATAATGCATAAATAAACTGAAATTTTCATAAACTCAATACTAAAAGCAATGAAAACAATTGGAATATAGCTACATTCAAAAGTTGATGGATGTTCCAAGTACAATACTGGGTGAAAGACCAAGTTACAAATGACACAAATCATATGATTGCCAATTATATAATAGTAGAACACAGGTAATCAAACTATATTGTATAAAGATGGGAAAATAGGAGGTAAAACTAAAACTATGATGACAAGAAAGTACTGAAATGACACCTTTAAATTCTAAATGATGATTGGGAAAAGGAGGCATATTGAGAGTGGACACACAAAGAAATTCTTTGGCAGAGGTAAGGATTGTTTTGACCTTAGTGCAAAGTATTCAGGTGCTTGTTAAGTATCTATGTATTACACTCTTCATCCATATTTCCTGTATATATTTCATATATATTATATATCACAGTGAAATAATGGAATGGTATAAATATTTACTGCTAAACAAAAGTGGGCGGAGTTTACTATAGAGAGAACTGTACTAAAATATATTTTAAAGAAAATTATAATTAAATGGGAGATTATTTCTGAAAGAAACTTCGACATACAAAAACACTGATAAAAAGGAATGGAAGGTAAAATAAAGCAACTATTTTCTGAATAAATTCTTCATAGTACTTTCTAATGTAAAGAAATGAAATATTTTACAAGAGTATTTTACAAGAAAGTTAATTGGGTTGTAAACACTGTGATCTGGGAAGAAGGTGGTCCAGATAGATGTTTACCATTAAACATCTATGGTAAAAATACAAAGATAATCACTAAAGGAAAATAAACAGTACATAGAGACTAAATCACTAAAAGAAATACTGGAAGAAAGGAAAACAAAATAAACAGATTCAACAAAAATTCAATTAAGAACAAATGTGGCAAATTGAATATAGAAAATATAAAAATTTTGAGACAACTAAAATTATAAAAATATGCAATCTAGAGGAGCATAAGAAAATTAAATGTAATGAGGTATCCTGGAAAAGATCCTGGGACAGAAAAATGCCATTAGGTAAAAACAAAGGAAATCTGAATAAACTATGGACTTTAGTTAATTTAAAAATATGTAAAAGTATTAATCACAATAATATTTGAGTTAATCTTATAAATCAAGAACAGACTGAATAATAAATTAAAACCTAAGGTAAATACTGAACTTAATAGTAAAGAAAACCTAAATGAGAATACAGAAATATCAGGGAAATACTAATTTAAGGAAGCTAGTGTGTGCATAGATACAGACATAAAATATGTATACAGATATATACCAGACCAAATAGACATTAAAACAGAAATCAACATTAGAAATAAAGAGATTCAGTATTTGAAGGTAAAGTATTAAATTTCTAGGAAGGTACAACAATTGTAAATAAATTTATACCATATAAAAGAAATACAAAATATATAAAATATGAATTGAGTAAATGATAATGAGAATTAGGCAAATCCAACTGTATAGTTGGAGATATCAATATTATTTCTCGAGTGCTGAAAGTTCAGGCAAACAAAATTAGTAAAAATATACAGAAGATTTGAGTCATTCACTTAAAAATTATAATGCAATCAGATTATACAGATTTTAGCTCCTAACAATTAGAGCTTACATCTCAGCAAGCAAATATGAAACATTAAAATAATCACCGCACGAGTATATGAAGGCAACAACAACAAAATGCAATGATTAGCTATCTTACCAAGCACAAATGAAAAACAAGAAGACAAATAGCAAAAAGCTAAATATAACAACAAACCAAGGATTGTGATTAATCCAATTCTGCGAAACGAAGTTAAAATAAATGAGGCTTTATACATGCAAGAACTGAAAGTAGGAGATGAGGAGGTGAACAACAGCATACATTTAATAACTCAGTGATCCAATTCAGGCACTTTGGAGGAATTCAGGGATGATTTAGGTGATAATTATACTACTGTTGGAACTGATGTTTATGATACAGAAAGGTGGGTAATGTTTACACAACAAGGAAAATCTACTTCTTTAACCACACTGCACTTACCCCAAACTTAAATTCTTCAAATGTTTCAAATTCAGGATGAGCCAGTTATCACATGCCTTATATCTCCCCATCTTAGCTATTTGATAAAATGGTGCAACATTAAAAAAAAAAGTCCTCCCACTTATATCACAACTATATTTATAAGACTACAGAAACAAATCTTTAGATAAGCTATTAACGTTTCTCACCAACCTCTGGCCCACCACAATCACATTGCTCTGGCGGTTCCAGAACTCCATTGCCACAAACTGAAACTCTTCCTTGTGGAACCACTTTTGAAACTGTTCGATTCTGAAGACATTCAAATTCAGGCTGTGAAGCTGTATGTTTGAATTCATCCATGCTGCAACTGCTAAAAAACTTTACACCACGGGAACGTCTGAAATTAAATTATATTCCTCAGTTAAAAGGAATAAAATCAGTATCAAAGTCATACTCCTTCAATAACGTACTATGAATTCTGTACTACTTCACTTAGAGAATAGCCAAAACGGGAGAGTGCTTTATTTTTAATACAATTAGTAATGCAAGAATAAGTTCGTTTCTATTATAATTCAATATAACAGACATCTAAGTAGAGGATGTTAAGGTTACATGATTTAGAATATATTAAACAAAACAGCGCTTGGCACACAAAAAACTCTGTTTAAGTATGTCTTACTATTTACTATTTTCATTATTATTGACAACACCATCATAATTATTATTGTATTATTAATATATAAAAATAATATTTAATATATTATAATATATATTATATATTAATATAATATAATAATAATTAATATACATTAATGTTATTATATTATTATTATTAAATTATAATTATTATTATAATTATGATGGTGTGTCAATAATAATGAAAATAGTAAATAGTAAGACATACTTAAACAGAGCTTTTTGTGTGCCAAGCGCTGTTTTGTTTAATATATTCTAAATCATGTAACCTTAACATCCTCTACTTAAGAAAATGAAACATACTAGGAATAATATGGGAAAATGAAGGAATAAACAATGGTGGACTGTGTTATTTAAAAGTCAGAATTATTTGTACTTTGGTAACAAAATTAATTAATTAAAATATCTCAACACTGAGTATATAGAATGTATAAACCCTAGATTCTTTTTATTTTGATATTTTTATATTTCTAAGTGTACTGTTTAATGGGCTTTTGTTTAAATTTGTAACAATCTCTATGAGATTAGAGAAATGATACAAAAGTACGAAAACCAAATTTTGTTTCCTGAAATGGTTGAGTAAGTTGCCAACGGGAGATCCTGATTACTCTAAATATTTTAATGTATAACTCTTACATAGTAATGAATTCTCTGAAATCACACCTTCAATATCAGGAAATAATGATATGGTGCTAAAATCTAATCCTCACATCACATTCAAATTTCCCCTTCATCACAGTATTGGCACTTTATAGCAAAAGGATCCAGTTCAAAATCAACCACTGCATTTAGTTCTCATGTCTCCTTAGCTTAGTTGATTACAATTTTTGTTGAATTTCATGACAGTGAAACGTTTTATAATTACAGGCTGATTATTTGGTAAAATGTCCCTCAATTTGGGTTTACGAAATGTTTCCCCATAGTTAGACTGAGATTATGCATCTTGGCAACCTCATCATAGAAGTGTTGTTGACTCTGTCTGCTCCATTGCATCCTAACAGATAGCACATGATTTCAACTTGTTATATTTTTGGTAAAAGTCACTTTGATCAGTTGATTAAGGTGTGTCTGCCAGTCTTTACTCTAACATTTCTTTCCTTTCTTATCACTTAATAATTATTTGAAGAGAAGTTTTATGTAAAATCTCATTTCTAATCACATTTTCAATTCATTCATCTATTTACATGAATCATATCTTCCTATTACACTCAGTGGGTTATAATCCATTACGAACATTACAAATGACTTTCAAATTGTCCCAGATTTGCCTATGGGGAGCCCCTTTCAAACTGCTTTGTGTCCCTGTGACAAATCTCCATAATCCTTTGAACGCCTCCTTATACTCTGACACAAATGTTCCAGGCTTGTTTGCTTTTGTCTGTCTTAGCCCTGGAATCAGGTATATGATGTCTCCAACTTTGTTCTTCTTTCTCAAGATTGCTATGGCTATTCAGGGTCTTTTGCTATCAAGAACTGCCTGTTTGTTATAGCTCCATGAAATCCAGGAACACAAGCTCCCCTGCCACTAGGGCTACGTGATCAGCAGGTGTCTTCAAGGCAGCAGCCACAAAAAATAGTGCACCAGGCACCTGTAGAAGCTCCTCTATGGAAGATACTGGCACTCTAGGGTACAGCAGATAGAGAGTCCAGTGATAGCACTCGCCCTCTGCAGTCTCTGGAAAGGACCACAGTCAGTTGTTGGATTTGTGTTTAACTAGAAACCTGATTCTCATGCAGCAGTTATGAAGGTAAGCTAAAAGACTTCTTTCACAGGAAGACTGCAATTCTGGTTCTAGGGTCTGTCTGCTGTGCCATGCAGGTGGCAACCAGCTGAAACTTTCTCTGTGGGTTACCATCCTGTGGTACCCACAAGCATAAGTCCTGCTGGCTACCCGAGCCAGGTGGTCTACACATGTTCCCTGGCAGCAGCAACAAAATTCAGGGCGCCAGACAAGGTTGTAAGGTCCTTTCTGAGAGACGCCGAGGAGCTGGAGCAAGGAAGGGGGAGGGTGAACAGTTATGCCCACTGGCCTCTGCTTGTTGAGAGAATCACCATTGGCCCCAAGATGTGAGTCAAACAGTCAGCATGCCCGTCAGGCAGAAGCTCCTGGACAAGTAAATGGGCCACTTTCACAGAAAATCTGGGGTGTGTTTCAGTCTGCTACCCGTGCAGTGCCCTGGCGTGACAGCTCGCCATGAACTACCTCTCCAATCGTTACTGTTACAGTCCCAGGGGACCCAGGAACGCAAGTCCCTCTGGGCACCAGAGCCGGGCCATCAGGGGGTGTCTCCTGGGCAGCAGCCACAGAAACTAAAGCAGCAGAAGCCTGTACAAACTCCCCTCCTGGAGACACTGGTTCTCTGGAACATGGCAGATGGAGGCCTTGAAGATAGTTCCCATCCTCCAAGCCCTCTGAAAAAGATTACAGTATGACTTTAGACATGGGTTTCATTAGAAGCCTGCCCCTCAGGCCACAGCTATGAAGATAAGCTAACAGGCCTCTTTCACAGAAAGATTGGGTTCCTAGGACTGTGGCCTCTCGCTGCGACCTGGGGGTCGTAGCTGTTTAAGAAAACTTGTTCCATTGTTTACAGTTTTGTGGGACCTGTGAGCTTAAACCCAGCTGGCCACCAGAGCCCAGTGATCTAGAGGTGGCAACCTGTGGGTGGCAACTGCAAAAACTGGGGTGCCAGGGGACGGTGCAAGCTCCTTTCCAGGAGAATCCAGCAAGCTGTAGCAAGGTAGAGGGAGAACACAAAGGTGGCATCCACCAGCCTCCATCCCCAGAGAGTACCTTAGCAGGCTTCTAGATGTGTGTTCAATTAGAGGCCTGACCTTCCAGCCAACACGTTAATATGAGAAAATAAGCCTCTTTGGCATAAAGACTGGGTGCCTCTCAATAGGCCACAGAGGTGGCAAGTGAGTTCAAAAGTTTTAAGATCTCTTTCTCGGTTCACTATAGCCTTATTTGGCTCACATGTGCAAGTCCAATTGTCTTTCACAGCTAGATGTTTGGGGGTTCATCTCTCAGTTGCAGGTCTTACCGGTTAGGGTGTCCAATAAGCGTTCAAATCCTTCACCCCTCAGAGAGAATCTCTAGGTTTGAGTTCCCTCCCAATTGTGGGTCACCTTGCTGGGGTTAGGAATTATGGTGAGATTGGTTCTTAGCCTTTCCTACCCTCTTCGATGTCGTTTCTTCTCGTTTGCCCTCTGTGTAGGTGTCTTGTGTGTGTGTGTGTGTGTGTGTGTGTGTGTGTGTGTGTGTGTGTGTGTAGGTGTCTTGAGCATGCTTTCTGGTTTTTTTCTGAGGAAATTGTTCCATGCGTAGCCATAGAGTTGGCTTGTCTGAGGGTGGACAGAAGTTCAAGTTCTTCCTAACTCACCATCTTGAACCAGAACCTCTATAAATAATTCTTGACATCTCTCTTCCTCTGTCTTATGAAACTGCTGTAGATTATTATGAGAATCATTATTTACCAAATACTGTTGCCAAAGTGCTCCAGGTCTCTGCTCAAAACCTGCTAACGTGCACATTTATCAGGAGTTAACATAAATCTTTAAGGCAAAGGGTCCAGAGATAAGAAAGGAAGCTACAAACAAACAAACAGATGGAACCAGCTGGGACCAAGATGGCGAGGAATCTAACCTCCAACAGACCCTGAGTCTCATTATACACTGATTTTACTATATTAGTTTATTAAATGACATACCTACCAGTGCCTATAAATGGCCACTAAGGAACAAAAAGGATTAATAAAAGGGGGCACCCCACTCCCTCAAAATAGCCCTGCCTCTGCCCTTGTAGACTAATGCATATGCCCCCGCATCATTAGCCTCACTCTTCCAACCTTTGTCCTTACTCTTTAAAAGTAAATCCCTCTCACCACACGGGTGAGAAGTTGATCTGTGAACTTAGTTCCTGCTTCTCCATTCCTTGCCCACTGAGGAGAGCTTGTGCTGTGTCGATGGATCTCAGCTTCGGTTTCGTTACTCTGTTTCTTGAATAAAACAAAAAAAGAACTCTCCCCTGCCCAGGCAGAGAGCCTAGGGTCTATAGGACTTAATTCAGTAACAATATTACTATATTGCTGTTCTTTCTGATATATTTAACATTCATGTTACAAAATATATTATATTATCCATACTGCATAAATCAATTAAAATGTGTTTTTTAAAATTTATCATAAAATCCCAATTTCCACATCATGATTGCTTGCTCAGGCTCTTTCCTACATTTCCTATTACCTCCTGGACTTCTTCCTCTGACTCATGGTTCTTTAGCCTCTTTGTATTTTACTTTCCTTTTTTGTTTTTTTAAATGTCTATGCCTTTAACATTCTTCCTTATAGTTTCAGCCATTTCTTTTGTTTCTTTGTTTTATCCCTCCCCCAAGCCCTTTTTTCCAGTATTTTGAGCTCTTAAAATTTTTTGCTATCCAAGTATCACTTCACTTGCTTTCCCTGAAAAGTTTTCAACAAGTTCTTCACATGACTAGATTTATTTCTTCTCTTTCAGGTCCTAACATAAGTTTTGCCTCATAGAAAACTTCCTAGACCACTTTATCAGAAAGTTTCTCCTCCCCATGTATTCCCTATTTATTTCCCTCCTGGCACTTATCATAAGCTGTTTAAATCTTCTTAATTCTTATTTCAAATGTTTAAGTTTCTGCCCTGATGGACTAATATAAGGTATATAGCTTTTTTCTATCTCGCTAATCATTTATATGACAAATACAATACTTGTGACACAGTACATACTTTAAAATTTTTTTGATAGAATGAATGAATTTCACCTCAAGGTTCTAGCACTCCACACAAAGTCATCATCAATGACTCGATACGACAGCACTGAATATAGAACTATGAAGCACATTTTCTACAATATCCAATACTCATTCCCTTTAATAAGCTTTAAAATAACTTGTACGTATTTAATAAAAATATTCTTATTCAAGTTATATTGAGAGAAATTATTCATCAAGAAATGTAAGAAACACCTCCCAAAAGAAGACAAAGATTTGATAAAAATAACATCTTACATTGCTTCAGGATTCATTATGCATGTAGTTCCTGGACAGTAACAACTGTAGATGTCATTATTATATGTTAATCCCAGGTTAATTCCAAGCAACTGTGCCAAAACAACTGAAAATGCCTCTAAGGTTATCATCTTTGGATACTAAATAGAAATGAAAAACAGAATGGTTGCTTAAGTTATTTTTTCAACCCTTGGTCTTTTCATGTAATTGTGGCCATATTACCTAAATGCAAATACTAATTTAATAAACTAGTATACCAAAGATCTTAAGATTTTCTTAAGAGCATTTTACAAAGTTAAATTTTGTTATTCTTTTTGAGTAATAGTACTTTCAACCCAAATGGCACTGACAAATAACAAAATAAGATTAATCATATGTTTTCATGACACATTACTGATTTAGTTCTAATAAACTTAAAAAAATATTACGAGAAGATTAATCATTGTTTCAGTAAGTATATCACTTTTAATGTTAACACTGAAAAATACACAGATTCTTAAGGGTTTAACTGACAATCAGTTTTGATGTCAAAAATAGTTTTAGGAGAGAAAATCAAACATTTTTTTTCTAAAGGCAGAATACTTGTATTAAAAAACTAAAACTTCAGAAGTAGTGATATAAGCAACACACAAAGCCCTGGTTGGTAATCAATGATGTTTTTAACTATCTCCATAGTTTTGCCTTTTCCAGAATGTCACAGAGTTGGAATAATACAGTGTGTGGCCCTTTAAAATTGGCTTCTTTCACTAACCACTTTACTTTTAAAATTCCTCCACATCTTTTAATTGCATGATGCCTAATTTTTAAAATACTGAATAATATTCCGTTTTATGGATTAACTCCAGTTTCTCTATCCATTCACCAATTAACAGACATCTTGTGTGATTTCAATTTTTGGCAATTATAAATAAAGTCGCTATACATAATCATGTCTGAGGATTCTGTGGGTGTAAGTTTCCAACTAATTTTTGTAAATGGTATAGAGGACAGCTGCTGGATCATATGGTAAGGCAATATTGAAGTTTATAATAAATTGCCAAATTGTCTACCACAGTGGCTGTACCATTTTGTATTCCCATCAACATGAATGCGACTACCTGTTGCTCCAAATCCTCACAATATTTGGTATCATTAGTTTTGCATGCAAGTACAAAGCTGAATAAGAATGGCAGGTTACATTCTTGCCTTGTTCCGAATCTTAGTAGGAAGCATTTCATTTCTAAACATTAAGTTTGATGTAAGCTGTATTGTTTTTGTAGACAGTCTTTCTGAAGTTGAGGAAGTTGCTTCTATTGCCACTTTGGTGAGTTTAATCATAAATTGTGTTGGAATTGTCAAATGTGTTTTCTGCATCTATCAATATAATCAAATATTTTCCATTTTAGCTTATTGATAGGATCAATTAAATTAATTGATTTTTACATGATTATCCAGCCCTAAATATCTGAAAAAATTCCAGATATAAATATCAATAGGGAGATATAAAATATTATAAAAAGAAATTCTGTGGTAAAGTAAAATCAATAAACATTTACTGGAGGTCTTCAAAAGTAGACCTGGTCAGGCAGAAGAAAAATCAGAAATGAAGACAGGTCATTTGAAATCACTTTTTCATGGGAGCAAAAAACAAAAACAAAATGTAGAAAAAGAGACGAGCTTATGGACTCTAACAAATAGAGCAATACATGCATTATGGGTGTCTCAGAAAGAGAAGAGAGAAAAGAAAGGGACAGAGGACTTATTTGAGGAAATCACTGACACAAACTTTAGAAATCTGAGGACATGCAGATTCAAGAAACTCAATGACCCCTAACTAGGAAAATCAAAAGAGACCTATGGAGAAACGTATTGTAATAAAACCACTATAAGTCAAAGACAAAGGGATAGATCTTGAAATCAACAAGAGAAAATGAATTGTCAGTTATCAGGGAGGTCTCAAGGTTATTATCGGATTTCTTAGCTGAAACATTACAGCCCACAGGTATTGGGAAAAATACATTCAAAGCGCTGAAAGAAAGAATCTGTCAATCAACAATACTGTATCCAGTAAAACTGTCCTTCAAAAAATAATGAAGACTTTTCCAGGAAAGCTGTGGGGGTTTATTACCAACTGACCTGACGTATAAGAAATGAGAAAGGGTGGTCTTCAAGGTTAAAAGGAAGGATGCTCGATAGCAACATAAGGCCAAAAGAAAATTATAAAATCCTCTAATGAAGGTCAGTACATGGATAAATATACTAGCTTATGTCTTCATAATTTTGGTGCACATATGCACTTTTAACTCCTGTATAGAATTTAAATGGCAGAACTAATATCTATGCAATAACATAAAGAGAAGGATAGAACTGTAAAGGAATAGAGTATATGTATGTAATTGCAGTGAAGCTGTTATCAGTTTTTCAGTTTAAAATTATAAAATTGAGATAGTCTTAGTAATTGCATAACTAACCATAACCAAAATATCTACAATATACACAAAAGGAAAAGACAAGGGAACCAATGCATTTCACAATTTAAAAAATCAATGTAACACAAAGTAAGGCAGAAAGAGAAGATGAAAGGGACAAAAAGCTACAGGATATAAAGAAAAAAATTAACAAAACGGCAAAAGCTCTTCTTATTAGTAATTAATTTAAATGTAAATGAATTAAACTCCTCAATTAAAAGACATGTATATGCTAAACAGATTAAAAAACAGGATTCAACTATGTCACTTTAGATCTGAAGACTTACACAGGTTGAAAGGTTATGGATGAAAAAGATATTCCATGCAAATAGTAACCAAAAGAGGGCTGGGCATGGCTATACTAATATCAAACAAAATATACTTTAAATTCAAGACTGTTAAAAGAGACCAGGAAGAACATTTCATAATGATAAAAGGGTCACTTCACCAAGAAGATACATCATTTAATATTTATGCACCAAACATTACAGCACTAAATATACGAAGCACCTCTTGACCAAACTGAAAGGCTAAATGAACAGCAACATAATAGACTTTAATACTTCACTTTGAATAGTGGACAGAGCAATCTGACAAAAGATATTACGTAAATAATGGACAACAGGATAGACTGACTGGTCTTAACTGATATGTGGAACATCCCATCCAACAACAGCAGAACTCATGTTCTTCTCAAGTGCACACAGAAATGTCTCTAAGGTAGACCACTTGTTAGGATACAGAACAAGTCTGTCAACTTTAAAATATTGATTTTATACAAAGTATATTTTTCTGATGCTGATGGAATGAAACTACAAATTAGTAAGAAAAGTAGAACTTGAAAATCTGCAAATTTGTGGGACTCCAACAACACACCATTAAACACCAATGATTCCAAAGAAGAAATCACAAAGCAAAGTTACAAAATATGCTGAGAAAAAAGAAAATGAAAATACAATATATCCAAACTTATGGGATCCAGTAAAAGCTCTGTTAAGAGGGAAGTTTATGGCAGTAAACAAATACATTAAAAAAGAAGAAATATCTCAAATGAAAAAACATGAGTTTACACATCAGAGAACTAGAAAAATAGGAACAAACTGAACTCAGAAAGATAGAAACTCAGACAGAAAGAAAGAAATAATAAAGTTCAAAGCAGGGATAAATAGAATTAGAGAAGAGAAAAAAAAATTAATGTAACAAAAAGTTAATTCTTTGAAAACATCAGCATAATTGGCAAACCCTTAGCTAGATTAACTGAGAAAATAAGAGATAAGGCTCACATGACTAAAATAAAAAACAAAAAAGCATACACAAGTCAATACCCTTTTTATGATTAAAAAAAAGCATACACAAGTCAATACCCTTTTTATGATTAAAAATCCTCAACAAACTAGGAATGTAAGAAAACAACCTCGGGACTTCCCTGGTGGCACAGTGGTTAAGAATCAAGCCCTGGTCTGGGAAGATTCCACATGCCACGGAACAAATAAGTCCATTTGCCACAACTACTGAGCCTGCGCTCTGGAGCCCACGAGCCACAACTACTGAGCCTGTGTGTCACAACTGCTGAAGCCCATGCACCTAGAGCCCATACTCCACAACAAAAGAAGCCACTGCAACAAGAAGCCCGCAAACCGCAATGAAGTGTAACCCCTGCTTGCTGCAACTAGAGAAGCCTGCATGCAGCAACAAAGACCCAATGCAGCCAAAAATAAATTAATTAAAAAAAAAAGAAAACAACTTCCACATAACACAGAGCATGGAGAAAAGAACATAACTAACATTACACTCAATGGTGAAATCCTGAATGTTTTTCTTCTAATATTATGAGCAAGGTAGGGTACTCACTCTTGCCACATCTGTTTAATATAGTATAGGTAGATCAAACCAGAGCAATTAAGCAATAAAATAAATGAAAGGCTTCTATCTTGGAAAGAAGAAAGTAAAATTATTTCCATTTGCAGATGATATGGTCCCATATGTAGAAATCCACAAATATTCCACATAAAAGAAACTGTGAGAACTAATAAATGAATTCAGCAAAGTTGCAGGATACAAAATCAGCACAATTGATTGTTTCTATACATTAATAATGAACAATCTGAAAAAATATAACAAAATGATTTCAGTTACAATAACATTAAAAAGAACAAAACACTTAGGATTGAACCTATCTAGTGAGATGAAATACTTGCACATAGACACTGCAAAACATGGCTGAAAGTAAGTACAGAAGACACAAATAAGTGGAAAGACATTCCACGATCATGGACTGACAGGCTTAACATTGTTAAGATGTCATTACCACCCAAAGCAATCTGTAGATTCAATGAAATCCCTACCACAATCCCAATAGCATTTGGGGGGCAAGAATAGAAACAAATAATCTCAAAATTCATATGGAATCTCAAGGGACATGAATATATATAAATTTTTTGAAAAAGAAGAACGAAGTTGGAATACTCAGATTTCCTGATTTTAAAACATATTACAAAGCTCTAGTAATCATAAGAGTGTGGTATTGGCATAAAGATATATAAACTGAATACAATAGAGAGCCTATAAATAAAACATCATGTATATGGTCAAATGACCTATGACAAGGGTGCCAAGACCACAAAATGGGGAAAAGGACAGTTTCTTCAACAAGAATACTCAATGGAGAAAAGAATGTCTCTTCAAGAAATGGTGATGGGAAAATTAAGTATCCACATACAAAAGAAAGAGTAGGACCCTTATATTACACCATATACAAAAATTAACTCAAAATGGTATAAAGATCTAAATGTAAGACAGCAAACTGTGAAACTCCTGGAGGAAAACATGGGGAAAAACTTCACAATATTGGGTTTGACGAAGATTTTGTGGATATGATGCAAAAATCACTGACCTCAGGGGCAGAAATAGACAAACAGGACTAAGCCAAACTTAAACCTTTGTTCTTCAGAAGGCACAATCAACAGAATGTAAAGGCAATCTACAGAAGGGAAGAAAATATTTGCCAATCATTCATCTGATAAGGGGTTAATATTCAAAGTATAAGAACTCCTATATTATCAAAGATTAGCAAACTGAATTCAACAATGCATTAAAAAAATCATACACCATGATCAAGTAGGATTTATCCCAGGGGTGAAAGGATGGTTCAATATCCACGCATCAATCCATGTGATACACCACTTTAAAAATTTCAAAAAGAAAAATGATACAATCCTCTCAACAGAGGCAGCAAAAGCCTTTGACAAAATTCAACATCCATTTATGATAAAAACTCACCACAAAGTGGGTATACAGGGACCATACCTCAACATAATAAAGGCCATATATGACATGCCCACAGCTCAGTTGTGAAAATCTGGAAGTATTTCCTTTAAGATCAGGAATGGGATAAGGATGCCCACTCTTGCTACGTTTACTCAACATAGTATTGAAAGTCCTTGCCACAGCAATCAGACAAGAAAAAGAAATTTAAAAATCCAAATTTGAAGGGAAGAAGTAAAATGGTCACACTGTTTGCAGGTGACATGATACTATATAGACAGAATCCTGAAGACAGACCCCCAAAATTACTAGAGGTCACCAATGAACATGCTTAAGTTGCCAGATAAAAATTAATTTACAGAATTATGTTGCATTTCTATAAACTAACAACAAACTATCTGAAAGAGAAATTAAGAAAAACATCCCACTTACAATCACATCACAAAGATTAAAATATCTATGAATAAATCTAGCTAAGGAGAAAAAAGACCTATCCTTGGAAAACCATGACACTGATGAAAGAAACTGAATACAGCTCAAATAGATGAAATTATATACTGTATTTAAAGATTTGAAGAATGAATATTGTTAAAATAACCATATAGCACAAGACAGTACAGATTCACTGCAATTCCTATCAAAATACCAATGGCATTTTTTACAGAACCAGAGTAAACAATTCCAAAATGATTATGGAAACACAAGATCCTGAATAGCCAAAGCAATCTTAAGAAAGAAGAACGTTAGAAGTACCACACTGCCTGATTTTAAACTTTACTACAAAGCTAAAGTAATCAAAACAGTATGGTACTGGGACAAAAACAGACCAATAGTTCACTGGCATAGAATAGAATAGAGAGCTCAGAAATGAACCCACAATTATATGGGCAATTAATCTCTGGTAAAGGAGGCAAGAATATATAATAGGGAAAAGACAGCGTCTTCAAGAAATAATGTTGGGAAAACTGGACAGCTACATGCAAACAAATCAAACTGGACTACTCTCTTACATCCTGCACAAAAATAAATTCAAAACAGTTTAAAGACTTGAATGTAACATCTGAAAACATAAAACTTCTGGAAGAACACACAGGCAATAAGCTCTTTGACATCTTAGTAACTTTTTGTATTTGTCTCCTTTGACAAGAAAAACAAAGGGGAAAAATAAACAAATTAGACTACACCACACTTAAAAAGCTTCTGCAGAGTAAAGAAAACTATTAACCAAACTAACAGGACACCTACTGAATGGGAGGAGATAACTGCAAATGATATAGCTGATTAGGGGTTAATATTAAAATTACACAAAGAACACACACAACTCAACACTGAAAAAACCAACCCAATTAAAATATGAGCAGAGGATCTGAATAGACGTTTTTCCAGAGAAGACATACATATGGCCAACAGGCACATGAAAACATTCCTAAACATCACTAATCATCAGGGAAATGCAAATCGAAACCAGAATGAGATATCATCTCACACGTGAGAGAACTGCCATTATCAAATAAAAACAACCCACAACTATTGTTGAGGATGCGGAGAAAAGGGAATTCTTGTGCACTCCTTGTGGGAATGTCAGTTCACGCTGCCACTATGGAAAACAGTACAGAGATTCCTCAAAAAATTAAATGATTCAACCACTCCATATGATTCAACAATTCCACTCCTTGGTATTCACCATAAGAAAACAAAAGCACTAAAGGAAAAAATATATGCACCCCTATGTTCATTGCAGAATTATTTATGATAGTCAAGGTATGGAAGCAGCCTAAGTGTCCATCAATAAAAGAATGGATAAAGAATAAATATATGTACGTACACACACACACACACACACACACACACACACACACACTGCAATACTACACCGCCATAATAAAGGACATCTTGCCATTTGAGACAACATGGATGGACCTAGAGCATATAATAGTAAGTATAACATGTCAGACAGAGAAACACAAATACTGTACAATTTAACTTATATGTGGAATCTAAAAACAAATGAAAAAGCATAACAAAGCAGAAACAGGGACTTCCCTGGTGGCACAGTGGATAAGACCCTGGGCTCCCAATGCAAGGGGCCCGGTTCAATCTATGGTCAGGGAACTAGATATCACATGCATGCTGCAACTAAGAGTTCGAATGCCGCAATTAAGGAGCCTGTGTGCCGCAACTAAGGAGCTGGCAAGCTGCAACTAAGGACCCCGGGGGCTACAACTAAGGAGCCTGCCTGCCACAACTAAGACCCAGTGCAACCTAATAAGTAAATATTTTTTAAGAAAAGAATTATTATTAAAAAAATTGCTGAAACAGAGTTACAGATACAGAGGACAAACAGGTGGCAGCCAGAGTGGAGGGGTTTGGGTAAGGAAAGAAAAAGGTGAAATAGATTAAGAGATACAACTTCCAACTGCAAAATAAATGAGTCACGAGCACAAAATGTAGTTTGGGGAATACAGTCAATGACTATGTAGTATCTTTGTATGGTGACATGTCATTTCTAGAGCTATTGTGGTGATCATTTTGAAGTGTATAGAAATATCGAATTACTACGTTGTGTTAAAGAAACTAACATAGTGTTGTAGGTCAATTATAATTCAAAACAAACAAATAAACTCATACAAAAGAGACTAGACTTGTGGGTACTGGGAGCGGGGGTTGAGAGGAGGGGGAACTGGATGAAGGCAATGCAAAGTGACAAAAAAAAAGGAACTCCTATAGCTCACCAACAAGAAAATCAAATAATCCAATTAAAAAATGGGCTAAGGTCTTGAATAAATATTTCTCCAGAGATGATATACAAAACACCAAAAAGCATATGAATAGATGCTCAGTATCACTAGTGATCATAAAAATACAGTCAAGGGGCTTCCCTGGTGGCGCAGTGATTGGGAGTCTGCCTGCCGATGCAGGGGACACGAGTTTGTGCCCTGGTACAGGAGGATCCCACGTGCCGCGGAGCGGCTGGACCCATGAGCCATGGCCGCTGAGCCTGCGCGTCCGGAGCCTGTGCTCCGCTATGGGAGAGGCCCGCATACCACAAAAAAAATAAAAATAAAAATACAGTCAAAACCACAATGTGATATCACCTCATACCTATTACGATAGCTAACAACAACAAAAAAAACAACTGTTAGTGAGGATGTAATGAATAAAATATATTCTGTGAAATGCTGGTGGGATTATAAAATGGTGCAACCACTATGGACATCAGTATAATGATTCCTCATAATATTAAAACAGAAATACCATATGATCCAGCAAACCCACTTCTGGGTAAATGTACAAAGTAACTGAACTCTATCTCAGAGGGATATCTGCACTCCCATCTCCCATGTAAAGTGTAGCATTATTCATAATAGCCAAGATATGGAACCAGACTAAGTGGTCATTGACATATGAATGCATAAAGAGAATGTTTCTGTATATGGATAAATGTATACTATGATAGGATTTATATATATAATTCATATAAATATATATGTATATAAGTATCATGAAATATTATTCAGCAATACATAGAATGAAATCCCACCATTTCAAAAATATGGATGAACCTGGATGTATTATTTTAAGAGAAATAAGCCAGACACAGAGAGACAAATATTGTATGATCCACCCTATATGCGGGATCTAAAAATATCATACTCACAGAAGCAGGCAGTAGAATGGTGGTTGCCAGAGGGTAGAGGTGTGGAATATGGGGCCTCGTTGGTCAAAGGGTACAGACTTTTCATTTAAGCAAGGTGAAAGTTCTAAACATCTGTTTCACAACAACGTAAATAGACAACACTACTGCACAGTGCACTTATAATTGTTAAGATGGTCAATTTTATGGGATATGTATTTTACCACAATAAAAAGCCGTTTAAAAATGATAACATTTGAGGATTAAAGTAAAAAATAAAGCACTATAGGGCTTCCCTGGTGGCGCAGTGGTTGAGAGTCCGCCTGCCGATGCAGGGGACACGGGTTCGTGCCCCGGTCCGGGAAGATCCCACATGCCGCGGAGCGGCTGGGCCCGTGAGCCATGGCCGCTGAGCCTGCGCGTCCGGAGCCTGTGCTCCGCAACGGGAGAGGCCACAACAGTGAGAGACCTGTGTACCGCAAAAAAATTAAAAATAAAAAAATAAAGCACTATAAAAATATTAATTTAGTAAAATGGTAGATATACTATATGTACTTCTGTTCCTTGAAGTGGATATTAAATTTCAAACTGTGATATAGTTACTGGAGAGATGGGAATAAAATGCATACCAGAGCAATTCCTGCAGCAAACTTTGGATCGCATGCCATTCCATGATATGTTGCTCCTACATAATTAGGATGGTCCCTATAACTAAATAATAAAATTTTTCTTGTGGATAAACGCACTTTAAATTTTTAAAAACTTAATGATCTTTTAAGAATTGGATTCCTCAATAATGCTGCTGCTTTCTTTTAGACATGAATATTATGTATCATGTCTAATGCTTTCAATCATTTTGTATTTGGGTAATCTCCCACGGTGCCTACAAAATTAAGTTCTAAAGGCAACTTTAGCATCGTATGATACACAGCTTAAAATCCAGCAGTGCCTAATCCTTCCAGAAATTAATCACCACTGTTGTCAACACTGGATGGATATAATGCAAAGACATAAAAGTCAGGGTAGATTACTGCCATGATTCGCAGGTTGTAAAACCTTAGACTGCATGAAAAGTGTTGGATTGGAGGACAGAATGAGAAAGACAATATGCAGCACAGTCACTAGGAAAAAGAGAGATGGGATATATTGTGTCCTCACACATTTCAGTCCTTAGTTAATGCTGCTCCTCCATCCCCAAGCCTGACCTTAAATTCTACAGAGACACCCAGAGATTCATAAATATATTCCATATTGCTTAAGATCTTCAGAATCGTGTTTCTGTTTTTTCCATCGAAAATAATCAAACTAGTAAAATAAAAATGTATATAAAGACTCGTGACAGTTACAGTGCAAGCACTTAAACAGCTACGCCTTAGGTCAGGATAGAAATACCATTAGGTCCCCACATTACCATACTTATGTTTTCCAGTGTAACCAGCTTTACATGCAATTATTGCATTCTGTTAACTAATGTATGCTTTATTTAATGTTAAAATGCTGGTTTCAATTATCTACCTCTGAGAAAATCTTTAAAACCATAGAGGCCCTATGTTTTCCTGAGGCTTTCCATATTATCAGTTCTTTAAATTTCCATAGGTAAGCAGCCCACTCTGAGGATAATGGCCTACCATGCTTTCGTGTCTTACATTTTATTAGATTTTTATAGCTTGCATTTTGCCAACAGTACCCACATAATCTATTTTTGAGATGTCTTGTCATCATAAATAATAAATTTTGTATATAATTTTGATGGTTAACTTACAAGTAATTTGATAAACTTTATACCAATGAAAATAAATTACTTACATTAATAAGTATGCCATATCATGGGACCTCTGAAATAAAAATTTTTCTCTCCATGACACAAATCTTTGTAGAACTTCATTAGCATCCCCATTAGTTGAAATCGTATTTTGATCTGACCAGAGCTCCAGAGAAGTTAATGTAACCAACACTTTAAGCTGAGAATACATCTGAAAACAGAAGATACATGATATATGGTTTTAGGTAATCATAAATATAACACTATATCTCTCTATGTAATGCTAATATATTCGATTTACTAATTTTTAGAGATGAAATCCATCGGTGGAAGAAACTAGTTGGTAGGACCATATAGTTTATAAAAGTGCATATGCTATTTATTCAAACAATGCTACTGTATTAATACAAATGTTTCTTATTTAAATATGAAACAAATACAGTGTTGATGAGACTAAAGATATGGACAACTTTCTCAGATGCAAGTACCACTTCAGAGCCCATATAATCATACTGAAAGGCAAATTTTGTTTTTTAATCACTAATAAAAATGACTAAACTACCACGTTTCAATGGGTATAAAAATGTTAAAATAATGCAGTGCTCAAGTGAAAGGACAAAAGCAGAATTAAGACTTATCACATGCTTAGTAAGTTCTAGATTTAAGCCTAGGGACATTACATATTAAAATGTGATGGTGATGAAACTCCTAAGTCTTTTTTGCCTGCTCAACTCTTTTGTCTTCATTCCCATAAGACAACATGACTATATATCCTGGAGAAATACATGTACTTTCTAAACACAGAGTTCTGAGCACTACATAGTGAACAATATCAAGAACATGTCTTCATTCAAGGGAAGAAAATCATAACATTTTCACTGAAACATTTCTAATTTTGTGTGCACACATATTTCTAAGCTTACTTATAATTAATGGTACAGCAACTATATATACACACACACACATATATAATTTAACAGGTTTAGATATAGAAAATTACAATCACAGTGAGGGATTTTTACATAGTTCTCATAATCGTTAATAGCTCAAGCTGACAAATTTACAACAAGCAGCAAATTTACAGCAAAAATATTAAAGGTTTTAAAAACTCGAGCAAGCTTTGATATAATATGCACATATACAAGCTTGTATAAAAAATGAGAGGGATATTTTTAAAGTATACCTGAAAGTTTTATATAAATTGACTCACATTAGGCCATAAAACATTGGAATATAAAACACAGTATCACTTAGCTCACATCGTCCAATCACAATGCAATCAAGTAAACTTGATTGTAAACTTGATAAAAAGTATTTCAATGATGTTATTTTTACTTAGATGGATAACTTGATTGTGGATATACATGATCTTATTCTATGTAAATGTACACTGAAAAAAAAGCTACAAATGCAATTTACAACTTACTTTCACATGGAGACAGAACAAGTAATAAAGGGAAACAGTATTAATAAATCTGAGTAGAAAGAATATAGCTGTTCTTTGTATTATTCCTATTCCTCTGTTTCCAAATAGAATATTTAAAAAGAGACAAAATAAAGATACTTTCAGATGAACAAAAACTGAATTCAAATGAATTACTACAGGTTAAACAGAAATATCAGAAAAACCAACCTGTGAGAAGGAGAAGAAATGTAGAGTTTGGAAATAGTAAATATGAAATACGTTTTTCCTTTCCTTAATTTCTTTAAACAACAATTGGGTATTTAATGTAAAATAATTTATTTTGTGGTTGATTACACAAGAAGAAATAAGACAGACTACAATAATATCACAAGGGGTTACACAGGATTTTACTGATGAAACATTTACATTTTAAAAAATATATTATTGAAGTGTAGTTGATGTACAATATTATATAAGGTACAGATGTACATCACAGTGACTCACGATTTTTAAAGGTTATACTTCATTTATAGTTGTTATAAAATATTGGCTATATTCCCTGTGTTGTGCAATATATCCTTGTAGCTTATTTGCTTTATACGTAATGGTGGATACCTCTGAATCCCTACCTCTATTGTGCCACTCCCCATTCCCTTTTCCCAATGGTAACCACTACTTTATTCTCTATATCTGTGAGTCTGTTACATTTTTGTTATATTCCTAGTTTCCTTTATTTTTTAGATACCACATATAAATGGTATCATACATATTTGTCTTTCTCCCCGTGACTTATTTCACTTAGCATAACAGAGCCTCCAAGTTTATCCATCCTGTTGCAAATGGTAAAATTTCATTACTTTTTATGAGTAGTATTCCATTGTGTGTGTGTGTGTGTGTGCGCGCGCGCGTGCATATGTGTATCACATCTTTATCCATTCATATGTTTATTGGTATTTAGGTAGCTTCCATACCTTGGTTATTGTAAATAACACTGCTATGAACACTGGGGTGCATGTATGTTTCCAATTAGTATGTTCATTTTTTTCAAATATATACCCAGGAGTATAATTGCCGCATTATATGTTAGTTCTATTTTTAATTTTTTGAGGAACCGCCATACTGTTTTCTACAGTGGTTACATCAATTTACATTCCCTCTAACAGGTGTACAAGGGTTCCTTTTTAACCACATTTGTTATTTGTGGCCTTTTTGATGATAGCCATTCTGATAGGTGTGAGGTGACATCTCATTGTGGTTTTGATTTGCATTTATCTGATAATCAGTGATGTTGAGTATCTTTTCATGTGACTGTTGGCCATCTGCATGTCTTCTTGGGAAAAAATGTCTATCCAGTTCTTTTGCCCATTTTTTAATTGGGTTGTGTTTTGATATTGAGTTGTATGAGCTATTTATATACTTTGGATGTTAACCCTTTATCAGTCATATAATTTGCAACTATTTTCTCCCATTCAGTAGGTTCACTTTACATTTGTTTATGGTTTCCTTTGGTGGGCAAAAGCTTTTAATTAGGGACCATTTGTTTATTTTTTTCTTTTGTTTTCTTTGCCTGAGGAGACAGATGAAAAAAACCAAACCAAAACAAAACAAAAAAACATTGCTATGATTTATGACAAAGAGTGTTCTGCCTATATTTTCTTCTAGGAGTATTACGCTCTCCTGCCTTACATGAAGTCTTTAATCCATTGTGAGTTTATTTTCCTATATGGTGTGAGAAAATGTTCTAATTTCAGTCTTTTACATGTAGCTGTCCTGTTTTCCAGCGCCACTTATTGAAAAGACTGTTTTTTTTCTCCATTGTATATTCTTGCCTCTTTTGTTGTAGATTAATTGACCATAAGTGCATGAGTTTATTTCTGGGCTCTTTATTCTCTTCCAGTGATCTATGTGTCTGTTTTTGTTCCTGTATCATACTATTTTGATTACTGCAGATTTGTGGTATAGTCTACAGTCAGGGAGTGTGATGCCTTTCTCTGTTCTTCTTCCTCAGCACTGCTTTGGCTATTCGCAGTCTTATGTGTTTCCATACAAACTTTAGAATTATTTGTTCTAGTTTTGTGAAAAATGCCATTGGTATTTTGATAGGGATTACATTGAATCTGTAGATTGCCTTGGGTAGTATGGTCATTTTAACAATAGTAATTCCTCCAATCTATGGAAACAGTGTATGTTTCCATCTGTTTGTGTACAGGTCTTTCACCTCCTCAGTTAGATTTATTCCTAGGGAGTATTCTTTTTGATGTAGTGGTAAAATGAGATAGTTTTCTTAATTTTTCCTTCTGATAGTTCACTGTTAGTCTATAGAAATGCAACTGATTTCTGTATATTAATTTTGCATCCAGAAACTTTATGAAATACATCGATGAGCTCTCCTAGTTTTTGGCGGTGTCTTTAGGATTTTCTATGCATAGTATCATGTCATCTGCAAACAGTGACTATTCTACTTCTTCCTATCCAAGTTGGATTCATTTGATTTCTTTTTCTTGCCTGATTGCTGCGGCAAGGACTTCTAATACTATGTGGAATAAAAGTTGTGAGCAAGGACATGCTTGTCTTGTTCCTGATCTTAGAGGAAGTGCTTTCAGCTTTTCACCATTAAGTATTATGTTAGCTGTGGGTTTGTGCTATATGAGCTCTATTATGTTGAGGTATGTTCCCTCCATGCCCCCTTTCTGGAGAGATTTTCTCATAAATGGAGGTTGTATTTTGTCAAAAGCTTTTTCCGCATCTATTGAGATGAACATCTGTTTTTTTATGTGGCTGTTGGCTATCTGTAGGTGTAACACACTGATTTTTTTGGTGGATATTGAAAAATCCTTGCATCCCTGGGATAAATTCCACTTAATCATGGTGTATGATCCTTTTAATGCCTTGTTGGAATTGGTTTGCTAATATTTTGTTGAGCACTTTTGCATCTATGTCTATCAGTGGTATTGGCCTGTAATTTTCCTTTTTTGTGATATCTTTGTCTGGTTTTCATACCAGGGTGATGTTGTTCTCGCAGAATAAGTTCAGAAGGGTCCCTTCCTCTCCAATTTCGTGGAATCGTTTGAGCAGAATAGATGCTAACTCTTCTCTTAACTGTTTGGCAGAATTCACCTGTGAAGCCATCTGGTCCTGGACTTTTGTTTGCTGGGAGTTTAAAAATTACTGATTCAAATTAATTAATGGCAATTGTTCTGTTCTTATTTTCTATTTCTTCCTGGTTCAGTCTTGGGAGATTGAACATTTTTAAGAATTTGTCCATGTCTTCTAGGTTGTACATTTTATTGGCATACAGTTGTTCACTGTAGTCTCTTATGATCTTTTGTATTTCTGTGGTGTCAGTTGTAACTTCTCCTCTTTCATTTCTGATTGTACTGATATGGGCCCTCTCTCCTTTTCCTTGATGAGTCTGCCTAAAGTTTTATCAATTTTGTTTACCTTTTCAAAGATTCAGCTCTTAGTTTCATTGGTCTTTTCTGTTGTTCTTTTATACCTATTTCATTTATTTCTCTTCTGTTCTCCTTATGCTTTCTTTCCTTCTACTCATTTTGAGTTTTATTTGTTCTTCTTTTACTAATTCCCTTGGCTGTAAGGTTAAATTGTTTGAGATTTTTCTTGTTTCCTGAGACAAGCTAGTGTCTCTATAAACCTCCCTCTTAGAATTGCTTTTGCTGTGTCTCAGATTTTTGGATCACTGTGTTTTGCTTTTCATTTGTCTCCAGGAAGTTTTTATTTCCTCTTTGGTTTTACAGTGACCCATTGGTTGCTTAGTAGCATATTGTGTAGCCTCCATGTGTCTGGGGGTCCTTTGCAGTAGTTTTCTTGTAGTTCATTTCTAGTCTCATAGCATTGTGGTCAGAAAAGATGCTTGATATGAATTCAATTTTCTCAGATTTACCGAGGCTCGTTTTATAGTCTAGCATGTGATCTATCCTGTACAATGTGCCATGTGCAATTGAAAAGAATGTGCATCCTGCAGCTTTTGGATGGAATGACCAATATATCCATTTGGTCAAATGTGTCACTCAAGGCCTTTGATTCCTTACGGATTTTCTGTCTGGATGATCTGTTCACTAATGCAAGTGGGGCATTAAATTGCCTACTGTTATTGTGTTACTGTCAATTTCTCCCTTTATGTCCATTGATATTTGCTTTACAGATTGAGGTGCTCCCATGCTGGGTGCGTGTATATGTACAATTGATACATCTTTTTTTTTGGATTGATGCCTTGATCATTATGTAGTGTCCTTCTTTGTCTCTTGTAACAGTCCCTTTTTAAAAACTATTTTGTCAGATATAAGTATGTCTAATCTGTCTTTCTTTTGATTTCCTTTTGCATGGAATACCTTTTTCCATCCTCTCCCTTTCAGTCTGTGTGTCTTTAGATCTGGAGTGAGAGTCTTTCAGGCCATACAGGTCTTGTTTTTGTATCTATTCAACCGCTCTATTTCTTTCTTTATTGGAGCCAATAATTACATTTAAAGTAATTATTGATATGTGTGTTCTCATTTCCATTTTGCTAATTGCTTTGGACTTGTTTTTATAAGTCTTTTTTGTTCCTTTCTTCTTCTTTTGTTCCCTTTTCATATGATTTGAAGACTATCTTTAGTGTTATGTTTGGATTCCTTTTACTTTTGTGTGTGTGTATCTAGTATAGGTTTTTGGTTTGCAGTTACTGTGAGGTTTTTATAAAGATATAGATATATAGATATGAATGGCTGTTTTAAGTTGCTGATCTCTTAATTTCAAATACATTTTAACAACCATGCATGAATACTCTCCTCCCCTCACAATCACTGTTTTTAATATCTCATTTTACATCTAATTGCTTTATGTATCTCCTTATTCCTTATTCTGGATATAGGTGACTTTGTTAAAAGACATAAGTCTTTTAACCTTCCTTCCAGCTTTGCATGTGAGATGATATCCTACTTTTACTGTATGTTTGCTTTTACTAGTGAGCTTTTTTCTTTCATAATTTTTATGTTTCCAGTTTTTGGACCTGGCTTTTTTCTTAGCAAAATTGTTTTGACATTACTTGTAACACTGGTTTTGTGTTGCTGAACTCTTTTAGGTTTTGCTTATCTGTATAGATTTGGATCCCTGTATCAAATTTGAATGAGAGCCTTGCTGCGTACTGTATTCTTGGTTGTAGGTTTTTCACTTTCAACACGTTAAGTATATTGTGCCACTCCCTTCTGGACTGCAGAGTTACTGCTGAAAAGTCAGCTGATAGCCTTATGGGAATTCCTTTTTATGTTATTTGTTGTTTTCCTTTTCCTGCTTTCAATATTCTCTTTTCATCTTTAATTTTTGTCATTTTTATTACTATATGTTTTGGTATGTTCATCTTTGGGTTAATCCTATATGGACTTTCTGGGCTTCCTGGATCTGGATATCTGTTTCATTTCCCATGTGAGGGAAGTTTTCAGCTATTATGTCTTCAAATATGTTTTCCGTTCCTTTCTCTCTCTCTCTCTTCTCCTTCTGGGACCCCTAAAATGCAAGTATTAGTGTGCTTGATGTTGTCCCAGAGGTCTCTTAAACAGTCCTCATTTCCTTTCATTCTTTTTCCTGTTCCACATCTGTAATTTCCATTACTCTGTCTTCCAGCTCATTGATCCATTCTTCTGTATCATTTAGTCTACTATTGATTACTTCTAGTGTATTTTTCATTTCAGCTATCGTATTCTTCATCTATGTTTGGTCATTCTTTTTATTTTCTAACTCTTTGCTTAAAATTTCTGACATCTTGCTCTGTGCATCCATTCTTCTGCCAAGTTCTTTGATCATCTTTACGAGCACTACCCTGACCTCTTTCTCAAGTATGTTGCCTATCTCCAGTTCACTTAGATCTTCTTGTGGGCTTTGCTCTTGTTCCTCCATCTGGAACGTGTTCCTCTGTAGCCTCATTTTGCCTAAGTTAGTATTTGTATGTTTACGTACCTGATAAGTTGGTTGTGTTTCCTAATGCTGGAGAGTGGCCTTTTGCAGAAGACCTCCTGTGTGTTCCAGCAGCATTCTCCACTCTCTTCACCTGTGATATAGACTCTAGTCATTCCCCAATGTGGGCTGTGTGGGTCTTCCTGTTGTGGCAGGCTGACTATGTGGGAAGTCTGGTGGGCTTTCTTGGCCCCTGGTTCAGGTGGTTGCCAGTGCTGCCTCAGGCACAGGCTGCCAGCTGCTGGTTTTCAGGACCAGGTCATAAAGCAGCTGACTGTGAAACTCCAGGGGGCTCTGGGGTAGTGCTGGCTCACTGCTGTATGGAGTCAAGGTCCAGAAGACTCCAGGACTGTAGCCCTCCCACTGGTGGGTGAAGCCAGGGGGGTTCCTGCCAGTCTACTGGTAGGCAGAGCTGGGTCCTGGAGTCTGGTTGCAGGGCCCAGGGGTCCCAGAGCTAGTGTCATATCATTATTTCCTGTTAATACTTTTATAAAAACTATTTAAAGATCTGAATATTTCCTTTTATGCAAAAAATCTAGAACATCATGAAACTCATTGAGAGACTTATACAAAATTACTAGTGATAATGGACAAAGCAAGTTTTTTCGTTAACTTGCTGCCTGCCCATAAGTTTTTGCTAAAACTAATTGTATAAACAAAAAGTTCCGTAATCAAATATGTTCCTATGAATTATTCTTCCTATTTTTTAAAAATGGAATTTCCAACAGAGAACCCAAGCAATTACACAGCATAAAATAATCTTATAAAAGATAGTATTTAATAAAAGGATCTTCAATTGAGTAATAAATGAAATAGCTTATTTTAAAATGGAAATTGATTTAAGGAAGAGTTTCACCACAATTTTGGGTGGATCCAGAAGTATATGCAACTAGTTATAATCCAATAGATTACAGTGCAATACAATCCTCCCTTATATATGAAGTTTTACATTCTTTCTAATAAATATTGGTATTGATTCCCCCATGCCAATGGAAAGGCAACTGACAACATTTTTTATGTACTGCTATACTGAGATACAGATTTTGAACAGAGTGACGTATATCTGCATTGCAAACAAAGATTCTTTTACACGTCCCCTTTCAATTTAAATACAAAAAAGATACAATATATCAATAATGCATACCAAGGCTTTATCCATAATGACTTGTATTTTCAGAACTCTTTTCAACAGCACACCAGAATTTTTCTGCAAAACAGAGAACATGAATTAAATAAAAATTCTAAAAATTTTACATTGTTTGTAATTATCAAGTACATTATATAATTATATACATACAGATACACACACACACACACACACACACATACAGAGTTATAGATAGATACACAGACAGAAAGATAGAGAGATATAGGTATATAGATAGTTAGGTGGTAGATACATATACAAATACATAAAGCTATAGATATTAGAGAAATAAGAGGATTGATGCCCACTGAGTAAATAAGCTGGTGAGATTCTGTATGAAAATTTTAGGAACAAATCAGAAGCTTTCACCTTATAATCTTGAGAATTAGAATCCTCTAAAAAAGTTACTGAAATGAGGGAGAATCCTTGTTCCTTCCTCTGAAAACCTTCCTCTTGGTCCCTCACCCCAACCTTCAAGCTAAACAAATTCCCATCGACTTTCCCCCTAACGTTACCTCTATTTTATCATCATTTTTGTACTTGTAATTATTTATATTAACTTTACTGTGGCCTACCCTCAATAAAATGCATCTATTTTAAGAATAAAGTTACATGAACTGGTAGCAATATTTACACCCATGCAACCATTTCCATCACTAAAATAAATAATGTTTCCATCACCCTCTTCCAAGTTAATAGCCTACAAGTCTCAAGGCAACCAGTGATCTGCTTTCTCTCACCATAGGTTACAATAACTTACCCTAGAATTTCACACAAATGGAATCATATTGCATGTCTTCTTCTATATCTGGCTTCTTTCACTCAGCACACATCTGTGTTGCTGTGATTATTAGTGATCCATTTGTTTTTATTGCTACGAAGTGTGCCATTTTAGAAACACAAAACGGTTTGTTTATACATTTAACTGTTGATGATCCTTTGGATTATTTAATCACCTTAGTTATTGTAAATATAGTGGCTATGAATATCCATGTACAGGTCTTTGGGCAGTTATAGTCTTTCATTCTTTCTTGGTTACTTAGAATTGGAAAACCTGATCCACATGATACTTGTATATGTGTAAAGTAGTACAAAAGTTCCAGAATACTTTCTAAAGTAGTTTGATCATTCTGCTTTTTCTCCAAGAACTAATAAGAATGTCAGTTGCTCCACATTCTTGCCTGTATTTGGTATTGTCAATCTTTTGCATTGCATGCATTCTTGTCAGTCTGTACCGAGATCTCACTGAGGTTTTAATTCGCAGTTCTTGGGTGATTAATGATGTTGAACATCTCTTCACAGGCTTGTGGATCATTAATGTGGTTTCTCCAAGTCCCCTACTAGAAATTTTATGTTTAGCCTTGACTATGCTCTAATTCATGTTTTTGGAATAAGGGTCAATTCCCACGTGGAAATCCAATCTTCTTGCATCATTTGATGAAGAGATCATTCTTTACTTTTCAAAGGCCTTAGCACCTTTGTGGATAATAATTTGGGCAAGAGCACGTGGGTCTACTTCTCATCTATTGTGCTCCACTGTCCTATACGCCTACCCTTATACCAAAAACACGATATGTTTCTCCACAGGAGGGGTCAGCAAACGACGGCCCATGGTATAACCACCTGTTTGTAAAAAAATATTTTATTGGAACACAGCCACTCCCACTTGTTTATAGTTTGTCTATGCTGATTTCACACTGCAAAGGGTGAGTGAAGTAGCTGCAACAGAACATATGCCCCACAAGCCTGAAATATTTACTATCTGGCCGCTTAAGAAAAAGTAATGTAAGCCCTTCACCTTGTTCTTTTTTTCAATTTTCAAAACTCTTTGACTCTTCTAGGTATTTGCATCTCCTTATGAATTTGAGAATCAATTTCTACAAAATGTCTTCTAGAATTTTGATTGGGATTACACTGAATCTACAGATCAATTTGGGGAAAATGAATATCTTATCTTCCTTTTTCCCTGTGACTTTGCTAGACTCTCTTAATTAGTCCGGATTGCCTTCATGGAGATTCCTTAGGACTTTCTATGTAGAGAGTTAGATCACTAAAGAAATAGGGTTATTTTTCCTTTCAAAAATATATACCCTTTATTATTATTCTTTTTCCTATTGCACTACCTAAGAACTCTAGTAAAATGTTGACTGGAAGTAGTGAAGGCAAACAACCTTGCGTTATCCCTAATCTCAGGGGTGGTTTTCTTCAGTTTGGGGCTATAACAACTATACCATAGACTAGGTGGCTTAAACCACAAACATGTATTTCTGACATTTCTAGAGGCTGGGAACTTCAAGATCAAGACACCAGGAGATGTGATGGCTGGTGACAGCACTCTTCCTACTTTGCAGATCTCCTGTATGCTCATGTGATGGAGAGCAGAGAGAGGGATCCCGTGCCTCTTCCTTTTTGTATAAGAGCATTAATCCCACCATAAGGGCCCCACCCTCATACATAATCTAACCCTAATTACTTTCCAAAGGCTTCAACTCCTGATACCGTCCTATTGAAAGTTAAGGTTTCAAAACATGAATTTTGGGGGAACACAAGCCTGCAGTCCGTAACAGGAGCAAAGTATTCAGTCATTTACATTCTTTACGTTAGCTGTGGATGCTAATAGATGCTCTTTATGAGATCAAGGAAGTTTTCTATTCCTACTATTTACCATGAATGTGTACTGAATGTTGCCAAATGGTATTTCTGAAACTACTGCCATGATTCTGTGGTTTTCTACCAAAATCTGTTAAATTCATTCAATTCCTGTTTTCTTTACTGACTTATGTAATATTGTCTCAAAGTCTTTGAAAAAGCACACATGTTTTTGGAGTATAATGGAAACTTGACTGGATAACAAATTGCTGGGATATTGTGTACCCCACTGGAGAAGCCATTTTCTCTACTCCCTAGTTAGACATTCATGACTATATTACACGCACAAGTCTTATACTATAATTCAGCAGTCCCCAACCTTTTTGGCACCAGGGACTGGTTTCATGGAAGACAAGCTTTCCATGGACTTGGGTGTGGGGATGGTTTCAGATGATTCAAGCACATTGCATTTATTGTGCACTTTATTTCTGTTATTATTCCTTTGTAATATATAATGAAATAATCATACAACTCACTAGAATGCAGAATCAGTGGGAGCCCTGAGCTTGTTTTCACTTGACACTCACTGATCGGGTTTTGATATGAGTCTATAAGCAATTGATTTATGATGGTCTCTGTGCCGTCAAACCTCTCTGCTAGTGATAATCTGTATTTGCAGCTGCTCCCCAGCGCGAGCATCACCACCTCAGCTCCTCCTCAGATCATCAGGCATTAGATTCTCATAAGGAGAATACAACCTAGATCCCTCCCTCGCATGTGCAGTTCACAGTAGGGTTCGCATTCCTATGAGAATCTGATGTCACCACCAATATGACAGGAGGAGCAGCTCAGGCAGAAATGTGAGCGATGGGGAGCGGCTATAAATACAGATGGAGCTTCGCTTACTCGCTGCTCACCTCCTGCTGTGTGGCCCCATTCCTAAAAGGCCATGGACCAGTAATGGCCCGGCAGTTGCTATACTTGCTTTATAAGAAATGGTCAATTATCCAAGAATGATGTTTGCTCCTTCTCCAAGAGAGAAGTCTGTGAGAGAGAGCTGTCCAGGGCCAGCAGCATCAAAGAGGGGATGATATAGACTCTCTTTTCCCTTAACTCCTGTCTAGATTCAAAAACTAGTGGGGACAGTTTGGGGCCCCGTGTTGAAGCTAGAAAAGGAAACAACCAGCAGTTTCATCTACCTTGGTCTTTGCCTGAGCAAAGCACATATGTGATGTTAAACCACTGACAGTCGGGAATTGGTTGCTTCAAAATCTAGTGGTATTTGACCTAATAGTGGTTCTCAAGAAGAATACAGTTTGAGGAAGCGTACACAGTTGTTCCATCTTTTGATCTGACTGAAAGTTCACTGTATTTGGCAACTACCCCTTATGAATTTGGTTGTGATTGTGGCTGGCTATTATTTTCATTCGGGATGAGATTAGAGTCTCTTTTTTTAAAAGTGTGGTTTGTTTCACACATTAGGAAGGACAATTCACAATAGGGAGGAAAGAAATGGCTTCAACCAAAAAAAAACCTCAATTTTATAGTTCTGACTGGGTATAGAATTATAGGCTGGAAATCACTTTTCCTCCTTTTAAGTAACTGTTGTATTGCCTTTCAACCTCCAATATTGCTGCTAGGTAAGACCATGCCATTCTGCATCTTCTTTATATATAAGAAACCAGATTTTTTTAAAATATTGGTCCAGAACCTCCACTTAAATCATTCTGAGAATTTTTCTTGGATTGTTTTGTGATTTATTCAACACAATTTTCTATGTTTATTTGTACCAGAACTCAGATTGCATCACCCATATTGTTATTTTAATTGAATTTCTTATCTCTCAAATTTCCCTGTCATTTTTGTTTATACTTTAGTTTTTGTGTGATTTCTGGAATTTTATCTTGTGAACTTTCTTTTGAGTTTTTACATAGGTTCAGCATGCTTTTACCTTCCAAGAACTGTTATCTGCTGAGTGTTATTTTTTAAATAGCACTCTGTTCTTATTTTGTGGTGAAATATTTTCTCCCACCTGTCTGAGGATATTGTCATTTTGTTTTCTCCACTCTCTCTATTCCTTGGGACCTCAGGCTTTAGCACTTTGAATTTTTCCATGTCTCTATCTACCATATTCAATTGTTTCATCACATGTCTAGTGCCCCTTCGTATTAGGCACTGAGCATCTGACAGCTTATTCCAGCATCTATGACCACATACGGAGCTTATGGCCTGCTGTCTTCACAGAGAGTAAATTGTCTGGGTTGTTTGCTGGGAACACCCTGCTGTCAACATGGTTAGTTTTGATTCTTTTGGGTGGTTTCATTCCCTCCTGGGTTCTAATGAACATCTTGGATTGTGTAAACCTGTTTCCCAATATCTAGTGTGCCAAGTTTAATTTACAACAGAAACAATCGATTAGGAGAGGAAATCGGGTTTTATACATACTTATACAACTTATTTTCAACCACTTCTCTTCCTAGGCCCACCCTTAATATCATTTCCTAAGGTATTCGGACTTGCAGTTCCAAAAACATTTGAGTAGTTCTGTAGTGTGTATCAAGTTTCCTATAGCCTATCTCAATTGCCAGTTAAGGATTCAGCTTTTTAGTGGCTAAATCAGCTGTCTATCTGCTATTCAACTTCCAATGTTATTACTATTCTTCTGTTCTGTTTGTGTGTGTATGTTAATGCCATGCTAAAAACTCCTTTTCGCTTTAGTGGGGTTTAAGGAAGGGGCAGGGTAAATGCATGTGTCCAATATGTCTTTAACAGGTAAGCCCTTTATGTATTTTGTTTGTTCTACTTTTCACTGGTTATCATGAAGGCCTTCACCTAGATTATGAGTTTGTGTTTCCTCTCATAAATGTCAAAACATGCCTAAAATATAAGATTTTATTTTATTTTTCTCTCTCTCTTTAAAATATCTGTTATATTGAAGATACTCACTTTGTCTGTTTGTGCTTGTAAAACATGCTTGGGGAAACATGCTTCTCTAAAGCTACAGATTTAAGCCCATCACATTCAGGGTGAAAAGCAATCATTTAATTCACAAACATGTCAGTACCCATTCTTTCCATTCATTCCTGCAGTGATATCCCTGGCTTCCTCTAGGTTCTGAACTTTTAGTCTCTTTTATTTCATTATTGCATTTTGTTTTGTATCCAAACTTTCCATAATTAGTTCCAGTTACCTTGCTTTACCACATTAGAAACTAGAGAGAGCAAATGTTAATAGTAGTAGTAGCGATATTTATTGATCACTTATTTTTCCCATATATACTAAATCATTTTCAATTATAAATTTATGGAATATTTAAAATATTTGTGTGAGTTAGGGATTATTTTTATTATTGGATTTTTACAGATGAGAACATTTAAACACAGAAGGATGATGTTACTTGGCCAAATTCTTGTGGCTACAGCCTGACCGACTTGAACTTCAAGCTAAGGCAGCTGGAACTGTATGCTATCTCAGTCTCTTCCCATCCCTCTCTTATTGCTGATTCACTGGAGGGGGATGGCTTCCAGTGCAGTGCTCTTTGTCTTTCCCAAAGCATGTCAATCCCTTCAGGTTTGCCCACTGCCACAGAAGAGTATTCATGGAATCCTTTAAAGTTATCCAATTTACTTCATGTGACACTGCTCTATTTCAGTTATGAAAATGGTCTGCAACTGTGTCCAGTGTTGTACTGCAATATGCAGATGGCGTAGGGTTAGGGGTCACATCTCAGTTCCATTAAAAATGAAATTTTCATTTCTATATATGATTATATTTTATCATTTTTATGACTTTCTGAAAGGGCAATTTTACTAATCTGTATTTGTACCAACATCTTTGGCAAAATAAATAAAAGCATATTAAAGCAACAGTGAGATGGAGATCATCAAAAATTAAATTCAAGTTTCATTTGTTACGATTTTGTTCTGCTTCTCTAAACAAGATATCTAATTTTCATGAGAATATGTGGACAGAGATTCATTTCCTTAACCACTGGTGGCAAAATGTAAAGTTGTGCAATCACTCTTAAGGAGGAATTTAGTATGTATATATATCTAAAAAACTTTGGAAATATGCCTATTCTTAGATACAGGTATTTATAAAAAAAAAGTGTGAATGCTCAAAAATTTGATACATTACTGCTGTTCATTTCTGGATTAAAGTAAAAATACAAATATGCAGAATATGCCATAATTTTGTAAAGTAGATATTTTAAGTTTATATATATATATATATATGTATATGAAAAAGCATGAAAGAGTACAAATTAAAATAATTCCCCTGAATTCCACACAACATTTTCTCTAGAAAACAGTATTATGGTCATTTCTTATTTTCCTTATGCATACATTTAATTTTAAATCAACATTAACTAATGTTAATTTAAAATAATAATAAATGTAACATAATTTAATGATAAGAGAAAATGTGCATTATCCTCTTAACAGCAATTTTAAGGGGAAATTTCAAAGAAGCATATATGATTAGATAATTTTTTGTTAAATAAATCTTCTTTTATAAATCAACCTTTATAACTAGATACAGTAAAAGAATTAGAATACTCCAAAGTTCTAAGAGCACTATATCTAGACAATGACGTTTCAGATGATTTCTTGCCTCTTTTCTACTTTTACCTTTTCTATCAAAATAACACTTTCTTACAAAGAAAAAAATGCACTGGCAAAACTGATGACAGAGTCAGAATCAGCAAATTTGAGTATCATTATATTATTAGGTTGCAAATTCAGTAACAGTGCAACTGTGCATATATGCATAAGAATACTTGCAATTAAGTATACATGTGAATATTGATTTTTGGATTATATGTTTATATCTATTACATTTTTAAATATTATATGACTAAACAGAAAATATTTTAAATAAATACCTTACAAGAGAAGGTTTATTTATCATCAACATCAGTTTAAATTTGTTTTCCAAATGTAACAAATTTCAACATGAATATGTTTATCAAAAGTTGCACAAACGAAGATCCCATAAAAGGGGTTACTCACTTCTGATTTCACAAAAATTTTGTAGGACTGATCTGCCAATTGGGTTGTAGAATTATTTTCTGCTATGGGGGAAAATCAATTTCATTATCCTTTATCTGATAAAGCATATGCTCATATGTAGCTGAAGATTCCAATGGTTGAATTCCATAACTGACATTCTCCAACTGCAATAATCCCCTGAATACTTAAATACATAAAAAGAAATTAAAAACACAGACTTCTCAATGATAAACAGAGACTGATATTAAGTAAATATATAAATTTGATAGTGGCCTTTGTCGTCTAATATCTAAGAATCATCCCATCTTCCTTGGATTAACATTTAAACCCAATTTTCTACCTTCTTCTATCTATTACAGCATTTAGGAGTCATTGCAATTGTAGTGTGGCTCAGTAATGTGGCTATTTCTTATACTAGTGGCAGTTTTTCTGAATAAATTTTATAACTGCAAGCCTGGGAGAGAGACAAAGTGAATAGGGAAAATGATGACAAGCAGGCCAAGATAGCAGATGAGAAGACACATAATGAAAGTGCCTATTTTCTGCGTCTTCCATCTACCCTTCGAGAAGATTCTAAAAGTAAAAGGGTACACAAGATTTCAGTCATGTACATCTCTGGAATATACCATTACCTGAGTCCGGAGCAGGTGCTAAGTGTCACAACCGAATTTGCAATCTCTGTGGCATATCCCTGATAAAAGCGATGGCCCTAAACGGGAGTAGTATAAAGATACATTTGTCATGATTAGAACACAAAGTGTTTGGTCTTATCCTTACTTCCTGGACATCGTCAAACATTCACAATTAGGCATTCCATAGTATTATTCACCAGATATTCCACTTCCTTCTTATCTACCTACAGTCTTTTCCACTTGACACTCTTCTGCCTATAAATAATCACAACTCCTATCCTCCCCCATATGATTTTTGCTGTAATTCTAAATTTTTGATAAACAACTTTCTGATCTGCATCTTGTCTTTCTCAGCCCCATTTCTTGAATATATAGTCTATGAATGCTACCTCAATGTAATTAACAGCATTACTTTGACTTCCACTGTGAACATTTCGTTTGTTTTTTCTAAGTTAGCCCCAAATATCTTAACTGACATTTCCTCACTATTTTCTCTCTAATATCTCACCATGTTGATCATCCTTAGTTCAAACTCTCCTCTCAATGGACTCTCACAACATTAGTCTTCCCAGCTTCTCCCCGGATGTTTTCTTTCAGTGAATATTCCCTTCTCTTCCCTAAGAAATCTGTTGATATCTAGAATCAGTCCTGTTCCTCTGCTAATCCTGGGCTATGAAAACATTAGTATCATCACATTCTCTTGTATGAAAGTGTTTATACGTCATTAGCGCCCAGACTTACATCTCCATCAGTAACCATTCACTCGTCTCAATACCAGGATTACCTCCTATCTCCCACCCATGGACAGTGGCAGAGCATACCCTGCTCCACACCAGGCAGCAGCAGTAGCCATTTCTGCCTTCACTGGTGCCAGCAAACTATGCCACAAGCCTTCACGGAGATGTAGAATGCAAACCAGGTCCAACCCTTTAACCAGCAGAAGAGAGCATCTCAGTTTCTGCAGCTCCTGGCCTTGTACCTGATAAGAGAAAATGATCCCCACGAGATAATTCTCAAAACCCCCAACTCTAAGCAGCAAAAAGTGACTGAGATAAAAAATTCCCCCACTCAGGGGCACTAGCAGAGGCAGAGTGAGAAGCATACCAATATCCAGTGGCTGGGAAACTGCCAGAGGAAATACTCTCTCTTCCATGGGTCCTTCATCACTCAGCATCACCTAGCAATACAAGGTGGCCCAGGAAAGAACCTTGTCCTGCTATGGGTTGCACCGGCAGAAAGCCAGTGAGCTCCAGCAGAGCCAGAAGAATGAAACAAAACAGAATAATATTGAAAGCCCCAAGAAAGCTAAATGGTCACTGGAACAGCAGACCACACTAAATCTGAACTTAAACTGGCTGACAGACTTCAACAATAGAAGATTTCAATGTCAAAGATACAATAGAAAACTACACACTATACCAAGAACCAAGAATATCACAACATAATGGGAGAAAACAACCCAGTGATGCCAATATTGAGATGAGTCACACGTATCTGGAACTATCGGATGGATTTTAAAGCAGCTGTGATAATACTCGTTCAATGCACAATCAAAAATTACCCTGAAACAACTGAAAGAACAGGAAATAACAGAAAAGAAATAGAAACCATTAAAAAGAACAAATAAAAATATTAGAAGTGAAAAATATAATAAACAAACAAACAAAACAATGCATACTGGATAGGCTCAAAAGTAGAGTGGAGGTGACAAGGGATAGAATCAATGAACTTGAGAAAGATCAGTAGAATTCACGCAATATACAAAACCCAGAAAAATGAGTTAAGAAAGTGACTAGAGCCTCAAGGACATATGGAACATTCCCCAAAGTTTTCAAATACATGTCAGGATCCAATAAGGAGAGCAGAAAGAATGTAGGGCAGAAAAAAATTCAAAGAAATAAAGGCTGAATGCTGGTCGGAAAGAAGTTGGTTTAGAAAACCCTGGACCTTCCATCTCCCAACAAATACACCAAGTGAGTAGCAATTCATGGACCAATTTCCTTTGTGAGAAATCAGGAACTAATTGACAGGCTCATGCACACCTTTAGAGGATGCAAAATCAGATGCACCAAAGCCAGGAGGGAGATTTGGGGTGCCCTTTCACCAGAGACTCTACCCCAGAGTACTGCCATAAGATCACGAAGAGACCCTATAGCTCCCAGATTCACCCAGGAGAGGAGAGGGTGTTGTTCAAGCATTCAGTGCCCCGGTGTTTTCGAGGGGAACGAACACCCAAGGAACAGTTTCACCAGACCCGGGGCTCTGACTGGTTCAGTGCAGTCTAGCCACCCAAACCACCCAAGCCGCCAAGTGGAGGTGGTGGCTTGATTCCCTCCCCAGCTTGCCCAAACTCAACACAGAGTGAGGGGATGAAAAATCCCACCTCTCTGCTTCCCCTGGGGAGGTAACAGTGGATCGACTGAAGGCAGTGTTCCCACTTCGCCGGTTCTGCCCCAAGAGCCAGCACTTGTCTCACCAATCCTGGAGCACTGATGGCTCGCCCACAGTCTAGCTGTTGGAGGGAGAACAGGGGTGGCAGCTTGGGATGACAGACAACAATGATCGTCCCTACTGCCCAGCAGAAACAGAGCAGAAAAAACCACAGCGGCTTGCTTCTACCTGGAGAGAGAAACCGCTGGTAGAGGACCCCCAAGTCATTTCAAATCACTGGCCAGGCTTATCTGTGGGCGTTTCCTTCTGCACACGGCCAGTCATGAAGACTGGGTGATGTGACTGCTTTGTCTAATGAGCAGACACCAAAACAAAGTGTCCAGTGAAATGAGTCATAAGGAAAAGATATTTTGAACAAAGGAACAAGACATAGACTGAAACTGACACTAGTGAAATGACATTAAAGAATCTGTCTAATGGAAAATTTAAAATAACTCCGATAAAGATGCTCAATGAAGTTGGGAGAACAATGCATGAACCAAGTGAGAAATTCAGAAAAGAGATACAAAGTATTAAAAGTATCAAACAAATCATGGAACTGTCAAATAATAACTGAACTGAAAAAATTCACCAGAAGGGTTCAACAGCAGATTAGATCAAGCAGGAGAAAGACTTAACTAACTCAAAGACAGTTCAAAGGAGCAAAAAGAAGACAGTGAAAAAGTGATAAAATCTTACGGGACCTATGGAACACAAACAAAAGGAACAATACACAAAGTATGGGAGTCCCAGAAGGAAAAGAGGGAGCAAGAAAGAATGATTTTGTGAAGCAGTAGAGATGTTAGCTAACACGATGACAGTAATCATATTGTAATATGTAAATGGATCAAATCAACACATTGTACACCTTAAACATTGTTACTTCCATAAGTAACAGTTCCATAAGTAATGTTCCATATGTCCTTGAGGCTCTATTCACTTTCTTAACTCATTTTTCTGGGTTTTATATATTGAGTGAATTCTACTGATCTCAATGTACTGACAACACATTGTACACCTTAAACACTGTTATATGTTGATTGTATTTCAGTTAAAAAAACAGAAAGCACTTTCAATACATACTGGCTGAAAACTTTCCAAACTTACAGAAGGAAACTGATATCCATGCCAAGAAGATAAAAAATCACCAAATAAAATGTCCCTAAAGAAATCCACACTGAGATATATTGCAATCGAAATGTCAAAAGTCAAAAGTAGAGAGGGAATTTTGAGAGCAACAGAAGAAAAGTGACTTATATGTAATGAAACACCCTTAAGACTTCCAGTGGATTTTTTAGCAGAAGGCTTGCAAGCCAGAAGAGACTGAGATGATATATTCAAAGTGTTGAGAGATGAAAAAAAAAGTCGACTAAATATCTTATACGCTGCAAAACTACAGAAGTGAAAAAGAGACTTCTGGTTTCTGGTTCTCCACGTCAGAAGGTTGGACGTTGCCATTCCATCCTGACAACAAGAGACAGCAGAACAGACTTAAAACTCAACAGCTCTTCCTGGATGTGTAAAAGAAGGGAGGACACAGTGCAAAGCGTGGCCCTCAGGATGAGAGAGGGCACATGGGGAGGCACAGCTCACTGGAGCAGAGAATCAGTAGTGCAAAGTGCTGCTGGAACTAGTGCCAGGGCAGGAAAACCTGACTGTGGTTGATGAAAGGCTGTAAGATCAGTGCGGACAATTCTGAGAAATAAAAACTCCAGAGAACCCATGAATGGACCCCCAAAATACTGTGAGATTTCCCTTCAAGAGTTCCACCAAGATGTCACAGCTAATATCAGAGAAAAAGTCCTTGTGCCTCCGGCAAGGGGAGGGGGAAAGGACTCAATTTGAAATACATCAGTGCACTCTGTTCTTCTTTACAGGGCCTGCCTTCAGGGGAAACTACCTAGATAGAGATGAAGTGGCTGGGGTATTATCAGAGCCTAACTGACCTCAGGAAAGGAAATACCCAAATCCAGCCCACTCTAGCCATTCTGTCGCACTTGCGGAAAAAACAAAAACAAAACACCAAGAAACACTTTTGTTCATAGCCCTGATGCATAGGCTCACTAAAAAACCGAGAATTAATCACAGGACTATAAAACACTTTCTCTCACCCCACACCTCACTCACCACCACACTGCTAAAGGCATATTTACAGCAGTTACGATACCCTAGATATAGAAACAATCTAAGTGTCCAAGAGTGAATGAGTGGATAAAGAAAATGTAAGATATATATCCTATATGTGAGACAACCAATGACTTATGATATACATCACACATATGAATGAATATTATTCACCCATGTGTGAGAAGGATTAGTCTGGAGAACATTATACTAAGTGAAAATAGCCAGACAGAGAAATAGAAACACTTTATGATCTCACTTACTTGTGGAATCTTACAACAAAAAGGTAAATTCCTTGAAACAGAGGAGAATGATGGTTACCAGGGGCTGGAAGTTTGGGGAGATAAGGATATGCCCTCAAAGGATACAAGCCTTCACTTACAAGATGAAAAAGCTCTGGCAATCTAATATACAGCATGGCGACTATAGTTAACATAGTTACATACTGTGTTATACACTTGAATATTCCCTTAACAACCTTAAGTGTTCTTACCACAATAAAGATCACCATATGAGGTGATGT